AATTTCAAGTGTATCCAAAGTACATTTTAATAGCTGCTACAATAATGGGTTAATAGCCCCTCTGTACCAATGGAGGGAGCCCACACAACTCTTAATAGTTTTCACTCACGTTATCCTGATCATTTATTAAAATGTTTAACCTAGCATATGCTATAGATTCAAGTGTGCTTCATGGACAATACAGATTTGAAATGACAACCTCAAGGTCTGTGGTTAAATTCCTTTTAAGAATGGGTTGTCCTTAAAAAAAAATAAGAAGAAGAATGGGTTGTCCTTGTTATCTTAATGAGGCCAGCCTGGTGAAGGGTTCAACATCTCCTTTAGAGAAGATCTCTTGGTGATACACAAAAGAGATTTTTTAAAAGTTTTCGAGAGCAGCGATGGGGGAGAAGGAGTGGGCAGAAATCAAAGGTAAACAGGTGACAAATGCTTAGAAACAGGAGCTCAATGGAGACAAAGATCGCCCTCCATATCTGACACAGATAAAACCTTCCCTCGGAGCCAGGAGCCTGAATTCCGACTTCCAGTTTCTTAAGCAGGAGTCCTGGGGGCAGAGTGGTTGTGCATGGCCTTCACTTTGAAACCAGCAGCAGCTCAGCAACAAAGTTGGGCTTTCGATTCCCATAAATAGCTAACGTATCAGAAAACCCAAAGTGGATTTGACTTGATAGCAGTGATGGGTTTGTTTGTCCACTGTTCAGGAAGCAATGCGTTTGTGGTGAATCGACATTTGGCATTGAATAAGAATGATGGTTGCATAGAATGATTAATGCAATTGGTATCGCTAAGCTGTGCACCTGGAAAGAGTTGAAGTGATACTGCGTTGCACGTATTAACAGAGAGATAGCTATACAGTTGCTCAAGTTGGTTAGTTAGAGAGAAAAAAGCCACGGAGGGCATCCATGTCCAATCAAATACCACGTAGACTTGTCTTCTCGGTTTGGAAATTGACGGGCATGGTTTCGTCCCATTTAGTTGTCTTAATCTCGTGCTTAATGTTCCTGTTCTATCCCCTAGTTAACTGCTTTGGTCCTACATTCCTATAGACTTGTAAGCAGCCATCCAAGGTACAACAATAGTTTCTATTTTCCTGGAGCAGCAGAGGATGAAGAAGATTTTGCAAATTACAAGATGCTTTGTGGTAAAATCAACAGACAATTTGCCTCCAGATGTCTACAATTTACTTTAGTTAGCACAAAAAACTGTGATTAAATAGCTTTAAAAATGTTTCGATACAAAAACAAGGGCCACAGATGCTAATAAATGAGGTATGAAATTCTGAGTAGCATAAATAATGTGGTATAATATTTTAAGACGTTCTCTAGTTGACACACAAAAGAGGCAAACAGTTCCAGAAGGTAAATGCAACTGGCTTCTCTAGCTCAGTGAGTAGATTAGATGAGCCTATTGGAGATCAATGTAGAAACCCAAGGCCCCAAATCCTTTCAAATTCAAATTCCTTATTTTTAAGAATGTTTTTATTTTGATTTTTTACATTTGTTCAATGTATATTCAAGCATCTGCGTGGATGGCATTTCACACGTCCTTGTTGGTAACTGTGTAACTCACCAATTTCAAGCAGGATATGAAGCCTTTTAAAACAAATTTATTTGAGGATACAGAATCATACCCCTTTGGCATTTAGTAGTAATCTTTCCATTTAGGGAAATGCTTAAAAATATTTATGATTTTTTTCTAGATATTCCAAAGAAGGGAAACAATTAATCTGTCTTTTAGAAAAGATGTCTTCTGTTGGATTTATTTCAGAAGCAATAATCAATTTAAACTGTTCATAGCCCTTGCTTTTCTCAGGGAGTGTCTGCAACAATAATGGGACCTCTCAGTTCTGTAGGTAAGAAACTATGATGGCCTTTCTCAATGCCCTACCTTTCCTATTCAGCCCAAAACCAGAAAAAAAAACTCTAGTGTTAACATAAGAAGAGGTGCAGGTCTCAGAAAGTGAGGAGATTTATCTTCTTTCCCTGGTGAAGGCTGTGCACCAAGACCCTGTTGTGCTCCAGACCAAGAGGCAATGTCTCCAGAAGACTGTAGCAGGCCCCCTGCAACTGCTCCCAGCTTTTTTGAATCTGGTTAGGCCCCTAGCCTTTGGAATGAACCCCACTTTTGACTAATAGTTACAGGTGCCCTGTGCAGCCGTTAGAATTACGAACAGACCCCGGGTGCTGGCAGGGGAATGTGCTTCAGATGTTAGGGAACAGAACTTGGAGGAGAACCAGTGGGTCAGGAGATCTGCAGTGGATGGGGGTCCCCTTAACTCACAAGGGGTTCATCAGGGGCTTGGGGTGCCCTCCCATGGATTTGTGTGATGCATGGGGTCTGAAAAGCAAGGCCATCCAAGGCACAACCAATGGCTTCTATTTACCTGGAGTAGCGGAATGAAAAGCAGAGTGAGGAATATGGGAAGAGAGATGTGTGTCTACCTGCCTTTATGGGCAATTGCCTCCTTTGCTATGTGATCAGAAGAACTGGATGGTGCCTGACTATTAAACTTACTGAACATTTTGACCAAAGATTTTATAGAAGACTCTTGATCAAAGGGGAAAATGCTGAACAATTTCAAATTCTAGTGGATTCCAGACTTTCTGGAGCCACAGTAGGTGAATAAATTGCTGAAACAATGTTCCTAAAATAATCTTTAGACCATAACTAAAAAATTCTCCTGTAGCCTTCTTAAAATCAAACAGTAGGTTAGCTTAACTAGTAAAGAATATCTGCTGCCAGTATTGAGATCTTTTAAAATCTACCTGTATGACTCAAACCAGGGAGAACGACGAGATATTTGAAGGAACCTTAGCGGGCAGGGCGTTGATGTTAATGGAAGAGGGACAGGTCCCATCGGGAGGGTGGGAATGATTGCAGCTGAGTGTCAGCTGAATTGGACAGGAGGAAATTGCTGAATGGCAGGCGCTCTATATATTCTCAACAACCAAATGTATAACTGATTTAAAACAAACAAAAATAAATAGTACATATTATTTGCAGCACAACCTGGCCAGATCATACTTAGTAATTACCATCTCTATTCAATATGCTATTTGTAGGCATATTAGTACAACTAATTTCATTAAAAAGTCACTTATGTAGTATACATGACTATACCATTTACAATTCCGTCGCCCCAAAAGTCAACAGCTTTATGTTGAACAAGTATAGATTATGTTTTAATAGTCCAAATGTAAGTGTAGACCTTGCTTCAGAGAAAATTAACCATAGCTACTTAAACTAACTGACAGCTCTCTATGATAAACCACGCATAGGGCTTACACAAATGATTTACTAAGAGAGCTTAAAGCATTATTACTTTACAGACTTGCTACTTAATGTATGCATCCTATAAAATTCAAAGGCCTTAAAGAATCCAATATAGTTTTTTAAATAATCATAAGATTAAAGGCTTATTTGTGGAGCCATTAATAACATCAATAAAAATATTAAAACAGTTTCAATGCAAATAGTATTGAGATGGAAGAGCTAGTAAAACAATGCCTCTACTATATTTTCAATGACAATATAATCACAGAGAAGCAGCCTTTCCTCTCCCACTCCAACCCCCAAAGAGATTCTGCAGAATTCTACACTAGTTGTCAGACTGAAATAAACTAACAATTTTGTTAGAGCTCTCATTACATATTACCATGGAAAATCACTGCTCAATGACCATGTCAATAGCTAGATAAAATGAAATAACTTGAGTGGTTTAAGATTAACCATAGTTTGAAGGATATAAAATATATACAATAGAGAAGCATATAAAAAGACATATGCAAATTTATATAAAATTGCATACTTAAGGTTAAATTTTATTTCTCATTAGCACTGGCCAAATCCATGTTATTTTAGAAAATGACAAACAGTCTACTAGAAGTTGACAAAATCAAGTCCTCAGATTTTCCCATAGAGGTCATTACCCTTCAAGTATAGTTCAGCTATACCTCAGGTATAAATGATCACTGGATACCTTCCAAGTTATAGTTTGTATTGATATTTAAACAAACATAATTTCTAAAAATAAGATATTATTTCTAACAAACTTTTCAATCACACACAAAAGAACATATTGGAATTATAACTATCAAAATTGCATAAGTTAAAAGATAAAACCCAGAGAAAAAAGTAAATTTTTTGTTTTGTTTTCTCAGGTAGACCAAAGAAGATAGATCTTAGAAATCAACCAACTAGTCTGAAAACTAGTCCATTTACTAGTCTGAAGACTAAGTAAATTGCTTATGCTGATTTATATATAGTGAACAAATGTTTAAGATATACTTAGTATTGAGCTCATTTATAAAGATATTTTAATATAATTTGAACATTTTATACTATAATCCTTACTACCAGTCTTTATAGAACTGAAGACAGGTTAAGCCAGAATTTTATATACTGACAGTCTTCAGATTTATTTTGTTTTATTTTAATTTTATTAAATAGTTTTAAAGTATTAAATAATTAAATCATTTAACTATATTAAATGAATCAATTTATGAATATGCTAGATATAAAAGTCTACTTTTATTGTTTGGTAAATAGATAATCTTTGAATAGTCATTTTATATTTTGATTAATGATTAGATCGAATACCTAATAATATACTTAATATTTTTCTCATTTTCCTACACTATTTAAAACATTTTTCATAAGTGTATGGAGAAAATTAGAAAATTATGTTTTTGAAAATTGTGAATTATTAGTTTAGCTCTCCTATCAAATGAATCTAGTACTTGAGAACCTTATCAAAATAACTTGGTATGCATATTAGACCATGAATCCTAATAACTAATACAATTAACAATCATTTCCATATACAATCTGTAATTTTAAGCACTAGTTTTTTATATGAGGATAGGTGCATATTGGAAAATTATTTCAAGTTAGTCAGATATAAATTGCTCTTGGTGTTCTCTCTATGTACGCTCAACACGTTAAAGGGACAGAAGGCTTTGAATAAATGCCCCAAATAAGGAAATTTGGAAGTATCATACCTCTGAGACATAATCTTATAGGCATCTGGCAGGTAGCAGCGTATGTTCTCCATCTGAGCAGGGTCTGAGTCACAAATTTTGTCATCAGTTCTCCCGTAGTTGGCACTTTCAATCATGATGACGTCTGTCCCCGGACAGCGAAGCTCGATGGGGTAGCTCTCACAGGAAAGTTCTCTGCGGACCACAGCCATAGGAATGGGAGCTCGGCTGAAAGCTACGGTACAAAGAACAAGAGACTTCAGTCATTTTCATGACCTACACAGAAAAAACACATGTTTTCCTATCTCATTTTCAGATAAAATTAATACCAGTGGAGCAAACGAATTAGCATTCATAATTTTAATGAAAAAGGGAATGAATATATATCACTTTCAGTAACTCTATAGGGTTTATTGTTATATTTTGTTTTGTTTTACTGTTTTGCTTTTTAATCTTAGATATACATATATATGCATATATACATGTACTTATTTTGGAGGAGAAAAAGTATTAAATGAAGTTATATATTTGAAGTTTTCTCCTTAAAAACGAGTCTCCAGTTTGTGTATATTTTTGAAACTTTGGTTTTACTCTGGATGATTATATCTATGTAGAAGTACTTTGTAGTTTGCAAAGTAAGATGCAAAATTAATCTTTAGAACATTTTTAATGGAAATAATCACATAAAAAACATACTCTTGAAAACAGAAATGTATTTATGCAAATAAGGCTGTCTATTTTAACTTTAAAGTAATTTTGTTTGTTTTTAGAAATTTTAATATAATATTTGTAAAATGTCAGTTACAAAGGTGTAGAATATAGTTTATATGAAAAAGAAAGATGTGCAAGGAGAAAATTGAAATTTTCTTCAGCTCCCTTCCTATGCCCACTTCTCTACTGCAAATTGGTAACAATGTGTGAAATCACTTTTAGAAATTTTTATAGAAAAACAGTATTTTTTTTCTTCCCATACTTAAAAAAAAACTCAGGTTAATTTTGCTCACAACCTTTTTCTTTTTTAACACCCTATATATCTACCAGTGAACTTTTGATATTTTCTCTTTCTTTTTTAAAATCTCATTGCCCCATGCACTTCAATACCTACCCTACAGGGGTGATTTTATTTTATTTTTTTACTCTTAATAATAATACTAATTTATGGTGAAGATTTGGTAGTTTGATTTTAGGTAATCTTGTGTATTTTAAAAAAATAATTTATTGTGAATTGGGTGGAAATGTATAGGGCAGATTATCAGTTTTCCGTTCCATAATTCATATTTTGTTTAAACTCATGTGTTGAAATCCCTTCAATAAATCGTGACTTACTTCGTTTCCTCCCTGAGTTTCCTCTTTTCAGTCTTCCCTCTTTTTTAACCCTCTAAATCTCATTTTGCTGTAAATGTGTCCCTTTTTAGCTTAAATATCTGATTAATCTAACACAGGGGAGAGTTCGGTTCCAGACTGAATGATGACTACGGATCATGTTCTTCAGAGTTCTGCCTGTCTCCATCCAACCAATAAGCCCGGTCTCTTGAATGATGCCGTGTCTGTTCTACAGTTTTTCTTCCAGTCTCTGAGACCTTCTAATGCTGTCTAGGCCAGGAGAGTTGGCAGTGTTAGAGAGGAGCCACTAGTTCTTCTGGTATCAGGCTTGTGGAGACTGTTATTTGTGTGGTCTCTAAGTCTACTGGGCTAAATGTGTCTATATGCCTTTCATTTTCATTACTCTTCCTTCCCTGGTTGGTGAGAGATGAATGGTGGCACACTTAAGATTGTTACGAGCTTTGAAGACTCTAGTTGCTACTCACCAAAGTCGAACATTGTCTTTGTGATTTATGTGCTTCCTGAGACTACAGTCCCGAGCCCACAGGTTCACAGACCCGTGTCCTCAGGTCTTTGCTTATGTCTGAAAAGTTTCCAGAACTTTATTTCCTGCATGCTCCACCACATTCATGGATATATTTTCAGGAAAGGTAAATACATGCATATAAATGTTCATTGTCAAACTTATGTTTATTAGCAGGCACACTCACGTCTCCTCTATACCTGTCCAGCTGGCATTTCTACCATGAATCTATTCTTTGATCCTGGTTATTACAGGATTGTATGTACAATAGTATTTCCATCTACTGCCTTTAACTCTTGAAAATTTCCCAGTGTCTTCCTGCCACCTATTCGCCTTCCTTAATCTTATTATATATTTCCATTCACTCCACTCAAGTTGACACATCATTATACCCTAGAAATATCTTGTTTCAATAAGTGCATTTTTTTCTTAATCATTTTATTGACATACTGTATGGATGATATAATTCAATGGTTTAAATATATTAAAAAGAGTTGCACAATCACAACAAATTTTGATCATTTTCTTCATTTTTTGTAGCCATTGCTATTAGCTTCCCATTGCCTCTCAACTGCCTCTGTCATAACTTTGAGGATCTATTGCTATAGATACTGTCTTTAGCTATCCTGGAATTCATATAAGGAAAGTCATTACACACACACCCCTCAGAAAAACAAACAAACATAAACTAATTACACCTGCATTAATTTATTTTCCAAGGCTTCTGTCAGAGGACAAAACTGTTCATATAAGTGGTCGATGGCACCAGGGAGTTCAGGGGAGACTTGGCCCCACATGGACTCTACAAGTAGATTTTAGGCTTTCACTGCTATCCAGTCTTCTGCAAAAGATGTGTTCAGCAGTTAAATTCTAATACAATGATCTCTTCTGGTATTGCATTTCATTGTTTACAATCATAGGGTGACATGAGCTGGTGCACTTCTTCCTTGGAGCCTTCGCTCATTCCTGACTTAGATGGCTGCTTGTCAAAAACTGCCTTTCATAGCTATACATGATTTTATTGGTTCTCTCAGATAACAGAGAAGCTATGGTGGCAGAATGGGTAAGTCCCTCAGGTGCAACAGAGGTAATTTGAACCTACCAGCAGCTTCCTGGGAAAAGTGCTATCAATCTGTTCCAGGAATGACTTGAGCCTAAAATTCCAAAGAGCAGTTCTACTTTGTTCTCAAGGGTCCCTAATCGTTAGAACTGAATTGAGTGGCATTCAATAATAACATCCTGTAAGGAACTTTTCTTAGGACCATTCAGTCTGTATCCTACAAGGCAGACATATTTGTTCCTATTACAGCCCATGGTACTTTAAATATTCTTTGTAGTAACATAATTCAAGTACATCAATTCTTCTCTGGTTTTCCTAGTCCCAGTCTAGCTCACACTATCTTACTTGTGAAACACAATATTTATTCATATGTTTATTGACCATTTGGAGTCCTGTATGGCACGGGGTTAAGGTCTGGATAGCAGGATGAAAGGTTGGTGGCTCAAACCCAGAGGCAACTTAGAAGAAAGGCCTGACAATCTGCTTCTGAAAAATGAGAGCCATGAAAACCACGTGCAAACATGTGTACTCTGCGCACAGGAAGTCAGAATTGAAGCAACGGAAATTAATAACAGTAGACTGACCTTTTAAAATTCCTTTAGTCTGTGAATTGCTTGCTCAAATGATGCATCTTGTAAGTAGCAAATATGTTGAATGTTTTTCCTTTATATCAGTATATCTATTTTCTAGTTGGTCAATTTTCTTATTTTAGATATTTGTTTAAATATATATATATATATATATAAAACTTATTTATATATATGTTATATATATAACTTATTATATATATATATATAACTTATTTAGAAAATTCACATTCTAAAACAGTGAATGGTGAATGTAAGTGGCCTTATATTGGGAAGAAGCAAAAAAGGCAATTGAAAAACTCAACGAATCTTTAAAAAGCATAACATTAAAGTTCTGAATGTAAGGTTTACTATCAATAACAGTGGGTTTCCTTATAAGGAATTAATTAAAGAGCTGGAAGTCAAACTCACTGCCATGAACGCAGTCTGACTCATAGTGGCCTTACATGGGGTTTCCTAAGAGGTAACTCTTTATGGGAGAAGAGAGCCTCATAGTTCTCTTTCAGGGATGCTCGTGGGGTTAACCCGCCAACCTTGTTTAGCCCACAGCATCAACAAGTTGGCATATACAATAACTATATATTTTCACTGATAGTCAATTAGCTTGCTTGCTAATGTACAAAAGCAAGCAAACAAACAAACGAATCTACTGTCACTGAGTCAGTGCCAACTCATAGCAACCCTCTAGGGCCCAGTACAACTTCCCCTGTGAGTTTGCGAGATTGTTACAGTTTACAGGAAGTAAAAAAGCCCTCTCCTTCTCCAGCAGAGTGGCTGGTGGTTTTGAACTGTGGACCCTGGAAATTTGCAGCTCAATGGGTAACCACATATTAAAAAAAAAATGTAAATTGTATGGCATGTGTGTTTGTTTGTTTTACTACAGGAAGTACTAAAAGTAAAACTGAAGGTATTGTAAAAGTAAAATATGTTCACTAGAGAAAAAGCGGAAAGAAGAGTAAGTAAAAGGAATTTTGAGAGAAAGTGAAAACTGCTAGTAGTATAAATATTTTCAGTTGAAGCTTGGATAGTCTTTGAAATGTGGTTTCATTTAACATAAAATCCAGGCATAATTACGATCATGTTGATCATTTAAAGCTGTTTAAGTTGCACTGGACACTTTATCCCGTTCTAGTTGCCACTTAACCTCTTACTGAATGTCTTATTTTTATTAGCCATATATTGCCTTTTCTCCCCCTCTTCACAGTCACATAATGAAGATATGTATTCAAGCAGAAGAATCTAGCCTGTCATCAGTGTTAATCAAAGAAAGTTAAAATAATTACAGTTTGGATATAAACAGATATAATTACAATTTAATTTGAAATCAACATTTTAGAAGGGAATTATCAATAGAAAGACCAAAAAATTTATGAAATATCCATTTATTTTATCTCTAAATAAAATATTCTTCTTTCTATGCAACATAAAAATTGGTAATTATTTGTACCAGCTGTTCAATATTAAAGTTCTATTTGCATAGATAAAGGGGTTTTCATTAATGTATTTAATATTTTACATTATGAGAAAATATAATTTTAAATGTAACTTCACCACTTCTGTCAGCTTACTTATTAATATTTTTAAAATGTTTGTCCCCATACCCTTAAAGGGCCCAAGATAAATGTCCAAATTATTTTAATGTAGACTTCTGACCATTAGCTGTGAAACTATTTGTTTCTAAATTTTAATAAAGCCACTTTAGAAACTGTAGGCAAAATTTAAATTTAAAAACAGATAAACAA